ATCGTTCGTTTAAATGAAAAACAAAACATTTTTCGAGCGTGTAGAATATTCCCTCATCGTTCGTTAGGTTGGGTTATAGTTATTATACATTTTACCCATATGGCGTATACTCTCACTAATGATCATTTATGACACAATGTCATATCTGGTTGTTGAATTCACACATAATTGCCTACATAAAGTGTTATTCCTATTAGTATATTTTATACTTTTATAGTAGTCGCAATTCGCATCCAATGTTTACCGTATATATATATATATATATAGATAATATAATAAAATTAAAGTTACGTCTTATATATTCAAATTATGTGTAGGTTGCTGCTCTTAAAGATGTTACTGTCATAATTCCAGTCTTGTTCAAATTCCTTTATTTGTTCAATTCCTCGTTCATCTAGTATAAATAAGGATTCGTTTATTTCCTAGTTCATTTATTATTAAAAAGAAATCTTTCAATTCCTCATTTCTCTAAAAAAGTATCTGGTTMATAGTTACCTTAGTTTGCATAAATACTTTATAAAATTATTTTACTATCCTAAATATTTTAATTTTAAGTACATTCGTCAATTAATATGTACAAAATATAATTTCAAATATATCTCAAATATTACATAATATATATTATACGTAGGTACTATACAAAAGAATTATAATATTTACGTTCCTATTTCTAAACATAAGGAATTAATTCGTGTTCCTATTCCTTTAAAAAATAATGGAATTCATTAATTCATTTGTCCTCCAAAAAGGAATCAATTTTAGGAATCGTCTGYGAATTAAAAATTTGGTATGATGCACAATAATATTTACAATAGAATGACAATTTTAGGAGAGAAGTTGATCTACATTCTACGTGAAATGTATTTTTTCCACATCATAATTATATTGTGTAATATTATATTTTAAGTAACTAACCACATTGAATTATGTTTTCACAAAAATAAAAATATTGCTTATACTTATATATAATAATTAATTGCTGAATGTTCATTTCTATTTAAAAAAATTCATTAAAATTGAACTTAAAAATTAGTTTCTATGACATCCTGTTATAAACATTGAACTCAATTCTAGTATTCAATTCTTAAGCATTCATGATGGGTCAATTAAATTTTAATGATTTGTTGAATTTTAGTCTAGGTTTGGAATGCGTAATGCGTATATACTCATAAAATTTTAAATGATAACTGATAAGTAATAACAATTTTATAAAGAAATGCGTGTTTGTAATTTTAATTTTACAAGAAGGTATTTGGTGGGTTACGGTGAGCGGTAGAAAATGAGTATTTATTTTATTTTTTGTTTTATTATGTTTTAAATCGCTACTTGTTACTTGGGACTTGTAACCATACTGCTCGGGAACCATATAAAATTCAATCGTAAATATAATTTATGTTAATACTAAATAGATTACCTGATGAAGATATTTATAGTAGTCAGTAGTCAGTAGTAAAAATATATTTATATCATCGCATGTTATAATAATATGAATATGGATAATTTTTATATTATTCCTCTTTATTACTTTTTAATGACTCGTTGAATGAGAACTAAGGAATAAGCAACAAAAGTATGTTTTTTGACTAATTTTCTAGCGCAATAAGAACAATTGTATTTGTTTGACTTACATTTTTGGAAAATTTGGCACATACTTAACACATTATTTACCCAATGCCTCGCCCAATGAATATGCATCCCTCGAACGGTTCAAACCCTGAATTTACACATTTATAGATGATTTTTATGTTGTATATTGGTTACAAATGGTAGGGAAATATTGGCGACGTTTCCTCTTCGTTGTCTATACTTCTAAACCTCAAAAAAATGTACAAGAGAGCTTTTAATTAGAATGTCAGGACAATAGGCGCAGAATTATTGATAATATTTACTTCATATCCGAATTTTTAAATGGAATTATATCTGTTACTGAGCTACTGGCATTTGCACAATTTCAAGAAGTCAATTAATGTAATACACATGTATTATATAGTTAAGTCTTTTTTATGTTATTTTCTTTCTATATTGTATAATATTTGTTATTTATATTATATTATTTTATAATATATTATAATTGTTATTGCATATAACATAATATACTCATAATTATATGGATATAGCCGATATAGGATATGTCATCATAATTTTTGTATTACAAAATACTATATTCTTTACTCTATGGATTAAATACATTCTAATATAAATGTATATTAATTATATAATTATGTTCTGTGCTTGAGTCCACATGGTTGTTTAAATAAATAAACAAATAAACATATTTTTGGTAGGTACGCGTTTCCTTTATTTCAGAGAAGTAAATAAAAGTCGTATTGAATTTAAAAAAAATGCAAACAGTGGAATGCATATTATTTAGCAAATATTTTACTACGGAATGTATGACGGGTGACAGTAATTAGTGTATTGGTGATTTTAGGTGAGGTTGTTTTTTATCATCGGATAAATATCAACAAATAAATAAGATTTAGACTATTAGCCTCAAAGGGGTGAATGGAAAGACACATGACTGTCGTATGTTATTAAATTATCTAATGTTATAGATAATATATAGCTATATCTTTGTTTTTAACAGTTATGTACTAATTATTTTTGTCAAGATACTTTTAAGCAACCGATAATTTAATTTTTATTCTTTATGACTTAAAAGCAACAAATTACCTATTTATTTGAGACAAAACCAGGAAAAAAAATCCAAACTGTGGGTTTTAATTTGTTTATAGGTGGATTTAAAGTTAAATTTGAGACACATTATTTGTTTATTTCGTGAGTCATTATTAGTATGGGAAATTATACAAATAACCTAAATATCGTGGTAGATTGAATTATTTTGTTATCACCATTCTTACAGTTGTGTTGTTCTAATTACTCTGTGTTCTAAATTAACTTTAAAGTTGATCAAAATTTGTATCGAATATTAAATAAAATTGTATTATTAAAAATTATTCGTGATATTCATGATTTATCCATGCTGTTTGTCAGATATCTGTGTTTCGATTAGTGAGTTTTATAGCAGATATCTTAAAGTTGAATTTCAATGTAAAGACTGATTAGAGTTTAGAATTGGTCTCGTTTTGATCATAATATTTATACAGAGCAGTGTATTGTAGTGTATAGTATTAACTATTATAAATTTGAATTCCATAATAATGAGAACCACATAGAATCGATTATCATCAGGTACAGGATAGTTGGTTTGCCATAATTTTTATTGATCTTTTTATAACTTATAACTATTATATCAAAGACAAAGTTTAGCTGAGATTTTTGTTTCCGTATTGTTTATCAGTTCTCAAAATTAAATTTCTTGCTCACCTAACTTTTTTATTTAAAAAATATATATGTCCTTGATCTTGAACTTATTTTTTCATACATTGTATATACAGTGGAACCTTGATAATTCGAATCGATTGGGAGCGAAAAAAAATTCATGATATCGAAAATTTGGCTTATAGAGGTTCCACTGTAGTTGTATAACTCAACTTTGTCTGGATTAAAATTAATCTATCTTTCTATCGTTTTCCTTTTTGATTCAGTTGAAATATATGTATGATACAAACATAAATACACAATGATTAATTTTATACTTTTTAATTTTGAACATAATATTTTAAATATAAACATAAAAAACCGGAGACAGATTAAAAGTGTATAATAGGTAGTACTATAATTAAGTGCAATTTTACTATACGATATCTGAGAGATGCATCACTAAATACGAGCCAGAGATAGTATAATATAGATAGTATAGTATTCATTTTTAAGAAGTTATGTTTTAATGAATGTGAATTATATGAAATATGCTATTGGACATCGTTTAGATAGTGTGAAAAGATGACAATATCGATCATATATACCTATAGGTAGTAGGTACACAATCCACCTGTCCAAAAGGTTTGGTCACACCTGTATATGTATCGTATACAATAAATTCATTATAAATAATCTACGATAACATAATAACTTATTTCAATATTTATTACATTTGAATATTTAATAATTTTAATTTTAGACATATTTATACACACAGCATAGAATACATTTTTTAGTACATGCAGGTTTATACATAGTTAAAATAATATATAATATTGTAACTCGTTAGAAAGTCAATAAAAATGATTATAGGTACTTATTCTAGTAAATTATAGGTATATATTTTTCAATATGTTTGTCTTAATCATTACAATACTTTTTAAGACAATACCGGTTGATTCTTTTATCATTGAGCACTCATTATTTCAAAAATTACTTATGTTTTTGAAAATATTTTTTTACTTAGTTTCAAGTTGTTCAAAAACCAACGTTTTTGTTAAAAAATTTTATTTTAAAATATTTTTTATCCTTATCATTTTTTAAGTTTTTTACTTTTTTGAATGACAACATAGAGTTTTAATTTCATATTCCAAAGCAGAATATTTTTCTAAGTATTTAGGACGAGTAGTTTATCAGTTATAAGTATTTAAAGTTTAGATTGGCAGAGTGGAGTGGTACGGGGTTACCCCGTAAAATGTTTGTCCACTACTCTGTCTAAACTTTAAATAATTATAACTGATAAACTACTCGTCCTAAATTCGATTTTTATGAATCAAAATACTTAGAAAAATATTCTGCTTTGGAATATGAAATTAAAACTCTGTTGTCGTTAAACAAGTAAAAAACTTAAAAAAATTATTAGGATAAAAAATATAATTTTTTAATAAAAACGTTGGTTTTTTAACAAATTTAACTATGTAAAATAATATTTTCAAAAATATTAATAATTTTTTAAATAATGAGTGTTTAATGATAAAAGAATCACCCGGTATATTATTTTTTGGYTAAACTGATTTATCTGTTATTTTCTAATTTCCTAATACTCGTATTATAAGGACTTATGTATACTTTACATCAATATTCTATGTAAATGTATTGAAATTAAATTATGTTTTAATTTTTAATACTGTTTTATTTTAGGAACTGCAAGCAGTCATTAAAAACAATAACATAAGTAAAAAAGGAAAAACCATGTTATGTTTTAACTTTTCTTTGCTAATACTGCTTCTATTAATTAAGTTTAATGTTGGCGATGCGCATCTTGGAATGAAAAATGATTCTACAACAGTTCCTACTTTATGTAAGTTTATTTATGATATTAATCTTCCATTCTAATTCACTTGTGGAAAATCGCTTAGTTTATAAAATTTGCTATAATTTCTTCAAGACGTCTTTAAAGCAATTGTGTCTTGAACAGCTGTCAGCTAGATGTATAATACTAATTATTAATTACCAATTATTACAAATCAAAATACAGTTGAACCTCAATAACTCGAACCTCTAAAGTCGAATTTTCGATAACTCGAAGGAATGCCTTGGGACCAGGTCTTACAATATATGTTACGATGTTTTCTTAAGTCGAATTTTCAATAAACTGATTTTTTTCGCCCTCAACCGATTCGAGATATTGAAGTTCTGCTGTATTAATAAAAAAAAAATCAATTAATCTGCAATGGGCTTTCCTGAATGTTCATTCAATTATTTATAAATGTTTTTTTTTTATGTACTATATATATGATATCATATTTTCGCTATATTTCATATTTATATAGGGATTATATACATTATAAAATATAATCACAATATAGTTACTATTTACGTATAATATGTACAAAATGATATAAAAATAATTTTAAGTTCTTATACACTACCTACTTTTATACGAGTATACGTATAAACCTCACCATGTCTGTCTGTCACAAATTTCGTCACCATGGTTATCGATAAAATTATTGATTATATAAAAATGTTTTATGTTTATTTATATTTTCAACAATAAACTCTCAGATTTATTGTTATTTTTAATGTAAAATTGTTTGCTATTTTAGCCACGTAGTTCGAACAATAAATACAATTGAGTAATATTAAAATATTTATGTAAAGAAACATACTTCTAATGTGCTATATTTTTGTTTTATTAATATTTTTGATACACTGATTTTTCTATATGCTAATCAGTTTTGTTCAAACAAGTGTTATATTATAAACGGGTGGGATACCATGATTTTCTAATGCTTTAGTAGAGAATATACTTAGGTACTTATACTATATGTATTCACATGTATTATATTATTGAGTAGATAGTAGATAGTAGGTATGTAACTATATATATATCATAAATTATAGACAATATGCAAATACACAAATAATATTTTATTAATAAATTTAAATTTAAAATGATGACTTCCAGTAAAATTAAATTTTTTTGAGTGAGCATACCAATAAAAATTAAAAATACATGGCTTATTATTAGTCATGTAACATAAGTACCACTGCCTACCTATCTTACTCATTTTAATCATGTAGACTGTATAGAGTTGTGTTAATATATATTGCTTATTAATATTTATSAGATGATAATAAGTTTAAAAATATCACGGAGTGTCATAATGTTTTGATGTATGTGTATTGTCGTGATTATAGAGAATATGATGGAATGTGAGATGATAGATTGATTTTAATGAGAGGGTACCTGAGGGTACAATAGTACTATACTGATTTCGCGATTTAATAAMATTTCCATTTTGGCATTTTAGAAAAATGTTTGATAATTTGTTAAGGGTAGAACATGAATGATCAGACCAATAAAACATTTTAAAGAGCGCTATTTTTTAGTTTTTATACAAGTATCAGTAATTTTATTTGATGATCTCGTGAAATTATTTTGTTTTAAAATGCATTAGATAAAATTTTAAAGTAAATATGTACAATATTAATGTACCTATTCATTATAATACTTTTGCATTTAAAGTTTAAATTTGGACGGAATTAAAGTATATTCAAACGAAGAATGACGATTTTAGGTGTGTTGTTGTAATTTMAAAATGTTATTTCTGGCTATTTAAAACTCTTAAAATACATTTTAATATTTTATACAYACTATGAAATTTTCAAATGCAATTTTATTGACGAAAATTAATTTAACCTACTGTAATAGATACTAATAATACTTCATAGTAAAATTAATTACTTTAATCACAAAAATACTAGTACYCTATACTAAAAGACTGATAGATTGTTTTCGTTCAGAATTGTTCGTATATAACGTTTTTGTATCATTAAATTCAACTTTAACACATCCGTTAAAGTGACTTTTCTAGACAACTAATGTATTGCAGAGCGTCTATTCTGGTTTTGTTATTACCGATTATTTTAAAAATACTGTACATTTCTTACTTTGACTYTTCAAAATAGTAGTTAAATCCAATTTTTTTCCAGAAATCACACTCAATCTATAAAAAAAAATGTTTTCAGAAACACAAAAAATAATAGATCATTGTAAAATCGCTCCGTTCAAAATTCAAAACTGTATGACTGTATAGTATAATATTTAAGCAAACAATAMATTTTCATATAGTTTTCCGAAAATAGTTATTACGAGAGAATGCCTCATTAAAAGATAATAAGATACCTAGATACATAGACCAGATACTGTTACCTCATATTCTTTGATCCATCTCAGCTTATKATAGTATTATGGATAGTGAAGTATGGATTATTTACTAGACATATTTTATTTTGTTCAAATGCAAAGTTTTAAGGTAGTCCATAAAATGTTTAGTTGTTTAGAGAATTATTATTGAGAAATTTAACAAGTAACAAAAGTAAATATTTTTTAGTAGAAAGTTTAATTACATAGGTATATGTGTCAGTTTAATAATAATTGACATGATCTGTGAATGAATTATTTTTTTTTTTTAATTTAGTATTTATTAAAATACAAAAGCTGTTAAAAATGTCTTGATATTTTTGTACATTTATATGAAGTTTCTGTTATTTCGTTTTTAGTATACATTMAAAAGAAATACTTTTTTAGATCTAACACTTGTGTGCAATGTCTGAGAAGTAAGTTTATGAGGCTCTTGAGAATATTCAAGAAATTTGCCATTGACATTGTGTAAAGGTTGTCCAAACGAGCACAAGGTTTTTCCAAAACGGTTTTTCATCTCATTTCGCTGGATTTTGGTGCATTAGCATTGTAGTTGCTTTTATTACTGTGCTAGTGAAATCATCCAAATGTTGTGAGTATAGTCTTTAGATAGTATAGTGTTCGTGTTAGATAGAGTCTTAAAATTTACGTTTGTCCGTAATGGGGTTGTCTATAAAAAGCAAACAAATAAACTGTACGGTAATTAAGTGACATATTCTGTACTTTGCAACTATTT